ATCATTATATACCAGCTAGCCCAACTTCAGTAACCCTACAAACGTCACTGCTGTTTAGTTTAATGTCTTCATTTATGTTGGAAGTGATAGCAGAGCTGTACGTTTGAATTTGTTTCTGAATTCCCTCAATCAGAACATGCTATGTTGTATTTAGATGGAAGCTAGCGAGCTAACTTCCTGCTAACTTCCTGCTAACTCTGTCAAATGTCATAAATTCTGTTTTCATGGATGCCTGGATGTTAAACTGTTACACCTGGTAGAGCAGCAACACTGATCCTTTTATTACAGATGGAAGAATTTAGACCATTTTTAACTCTCAGTGATGCCGCAGTTATCGTTTGACCTATGAACCTGACTTTTGACTTTTGAACCTGCAGCAGAGTTTGGGCCCAGGCACGGCTAATGACGTCAGACTTAAAGACTATAGCTTCCATCTGGGAAAAGTGAGCTCTTCACTGGTCACCAATTCAATTTCAAAATTTGCAAAACTACTTACTGCACTATTGTTTCATATAAAGAAAAGTGAATCTTTAACACATGTGAAGCATCAATAATCCACAAACGTGTACTCAAACTCGCATCACTTTTAAATAGAAATTAAGTAATTACATTAAGTAATTTGTTCATTGAGATTTTGTTGCAAATATTGATCCTGTACTCACGTGACAGCACCAGAGAAATTTGGGGTCCTTGATTAAAGCCTGCTCTGTCAGCTTCTTGTGAAAAAGCTCGTAGACTTCTGGCTCTAGACACTCTCGCAGCTGTGAAGACCAAGTGTTAGAGCGTTAACTTCACACAACTGATTTACCTGTCACGACTAGTCCTGTTCCTCCTGTAAAAACATTTGTACTGTAGAAGATCTCTGGAAGATCTTCACCAAGTATGGTGTCACTCTTTCCCAAGTTTTAACATACAACATACAACAATGCGTTGTATGTTTGTCACTCTTAAATATGAACACCTTTAAAATAACACAAGTAAAGACATGCGGCGGTGGGTGAAGAAACTCTTGCCCCCTAATAACTGGTTGAGGCGAAAACTGCAATCAGGAGTTTCAAATAACTGGCATGAGTCGTTAACGGCGCTGTGGAGGAATTTCGGCCCACTTGTCTTTGCAAAATTGTTGCAATTCAGCCAAACTGGAAGGTTTTTGAGAATGAGCCTTTTTAAGGTCGTGCCATGGCATCCCAATCGTGTTCAGATCAGAACAGTGACTGGGCCACTCCAAAGTCTTCATTTTGTTTTTCTTCAGCGACTCTGAGGTGGACTTGCTGGTGTGTTTCGGATCATTGTCCTGCTGCAGAACAGAAGTGCTCTTCGGCTTGAGGTCATGAACAGATGGCTGGACATTTTCCTCCAGGATGTTTTGGTAGACGGCAGAGTTCATGGTTCCATTTACCACAACAAGTCTTCAGGTCCTGAGGCAGCCCCAGACCATCACACTACCACCATATTTTACTGTTGGTATAATGCTCCTTTTCTGAAATGCTGTGTTACTTTCACTCCAGATGAAACGGCACATCACACTTTCCAAAAAGTTAAAGTTTTGTCAGTCCAGCGAATATTCATCAATCATCAAGATGTTTTCTGGCAAAACTGAGACGAGCCCTTATGTTCCTATTGAGTCAGTCCTGGTGTAACTTTGGTCAGCCGGCCACTCCTGGAAAGGTTCACCACTGTTCCATGTTTTCACCATTTATATGTTTTTATACTTATTTTTTATACAAGAGATATCAATTACTTATGTTCTCATTTGTTCCTGAATTTCCAGCATGATGATCACAGCACGATGTCTGGGTTTTGAGGATCTTTGGTCTGCTCCACTGTCTAAGGCAGGTCCTGTTTAAGTCTTATTTAAGAGATTTCTTAAAGTACCACAATAATAAAAATAATAATAATTATTATTATCATAACAATAATACTAACACCCTCATTTTGTGTTTACTTGTATCATCTTTGTCTAATATTTAAATTAGTTTGATGATCTGAAATATTTCAGTGTGACAAACATACAAAAAATAGGACCTCAGGAATGAGCCGAACACCTTTTCACACCACTGTGAATAAAACTGGTGACAGTCACAATCACAGGTATTAATATAATATTAATACTTCATTTCACCCTTTGTCTCCAGTAATAGAAATATAAACAACACACTAACTCTAACACAGCTGCTCCACAGACTGACCTGGACATGCGCTGCATTAGGACATAATGATATGACCAAAATGAAAGTGATTACTACCCCTCCCTCTCTTACAATATTACTCTCATGAATGTAAAAAATTCTGAATAAAAATTTAAGTTCTGTATAATTAGTAAGCCTAGAAAAACAATATTGCAATAACTAAAGATACATAACGTGCACATGTTCAGGTTTTTGATATTTTATGGGCCGAACGATAATCGATGACATAAATAATACCATACCACCCTATTAGAGCACTTCGCTCTCGCTCTGCAGGCCTACTTGTTGTTCCTAGAGTATTTAAAAGTA